AAAGCATACCTCAAGATCAGCCTTAGGTGTGGTCCCTTAGGATCCCTAGGACCCGGGGGATAATGAGGAACGTCGCTGAAGCCCCCCCCCCCAACAACTCCCAGGAATCTCATGGATAAGGAAACTGACAAGAAGACCCCAACCATTGGGAGAAAGTCGGGCGGGACAAACGTTGTAAAAATCGAGGACATTCCAGATGAAAAGATGAACAGAGAATCGAAGACCGGCTCGGAAAGCTGACTCGAAGAAGCAGGTTAGCTTGGGAAGAGAAGAATTGCACCTCTCATATTTCCTAGGCGAGTGCAACTCCACGAAATCAGGAAAATGATAATACCACCTCAATTCCTCTAAGTTGTCATCCTTAAGGCAACTGGAGGTCTGATCGGCACAACAGGTCAGGTCGGATTGATCTCGGATAACTTTCCCCCTAGAAGTAGAAGGTGGAGCTGGCTTGGGCCTCCCCTCCCTTGATTGAGTAGGGGCAGCAGGAGCTAGAGATGAAAGAGGATAAATGTCAACGGGGGGGGGGGGGGACAAGGAGGAAATCCCAGGGGCAAACTCAGAGGCCGCCTCACCGGCGATATGGGAAGGATCCTTGGAGGAACCCGAGGTACTGACTTCCTCGCTGGCCTGACCCTCGGAATCTGAACCAGAAGAAGTAACGACGAATCTCCCCATCACAGTCTCCACTGAAAAGTTAGAAAGCAGAGAGGGCAAATGTAAGGCACAGTCCGTAAAAAACAAAGGCCTCAAACATCAATCCCTAAGAAAGGATATCCTAGTTGTGCTGGAAGGGTCCACAAACCGCGGAAGAAAAGTGAGGTCGTTGGAACGACTCCTAAAATAACTAAACCTCTAGACCAGGAAGTGAAACCTGAAACCCCCCAAGGAGGATCCAGGTTAAATAGGAAAAAAGAAGAAGGGAAGAGAAACGTACCTAGTGAAGATGCTAGAAGCAAGGAAAACTGGAAGTGTAGAAGCCCTAAGTCATCGAAGAGCCAGGAAGACGACGCCTCGAATACCGAAGGAAATAGAAGGGAAACCAAAAGAGGGTTTTTCGAAAAAAGAGGGATGTAAAGTGGGAAGGGGGAGGAGTCCCCCCCCCCTTTGTTTATATGCACAACATCAAAGGCCACAACTGACAGGCGACAGGACACACCAAGGAACCTGCACTTGTTGGCTCTCCCACAAACAACACGTACCCAAGCCATCATAAATGACGAATTCTTGCGCAGCCCAAATCTTGTCTAGACTAACTACCGAACAAACCCTCCACATAGGAAAAGATATCTTTAACCCCTGGTCCGAGATGATGTCATCCTCATGACCAAGGGCTGGAGGCAATTGAGGAGGGTGGAATTTTGAGCATAGGCCGCCACGATTACAGGCCAAAGAATCCCACAGCCCAAAAAGAATATCCTGGATTAGCCCAGCAGAGGAAAATTCAGTGGAGATCAGAAAGACGATGGCTCAGCCCAGGCCTAGTCAAGTGCCAGCCTAATGATAGCCCAAGAAAGAAACGGACCATTCATTCCTAAACAAACCTGTCATGTCACGCGTCCAAGGGACAAGGGGACCATCTCTAAAACATGTGGCAGCTGCATATTCCTGGACACAGAGGATGGTGGAGCTTAAGGTCCCAGAGATCGTGGATACTGGGACAACAGCGAAGAAAGGCTTTTGCAAGACAAGGACAGGAGGTTCCCACAGGATCAACGAAAAGGTAGAAGATCCTAGGAGAGAGGACCCGTATATAAAGAACAGTGCCTTACCAGAGAAAAGAGAGACTTCTCCTAATGAGATAAAAACTCTGTGAACAAACCCCCACTCCCTATAAACGGTCCAGAGCCTATAACTCGACTGTTTTCAACAGAAACTGAATACACAACAACAAGGAGCAAGAGACTTCATTAATAGTGGACGTAGCCTTAGTCTATCGGTTAAGGTGAACCACTTACATTCTTTGCCTAACTGTTCGTGATAGATTAATTCATAGTCTACAAAACCTGTTCAGAACATCGCACTATCATAGTTGTGCTTGGGCCTTAAATTTCGAGCACCATCAGTACTTATCCCAATTACCCAATTACTATTGTACATTTCTTACTGATGCACTAAATACTCCATTAAATTTGTAGTTAGTTTCACTGAATTTCAAAATTTATCACTTTTGTTGTAATTATACCATTAATTTTGTATTTTTACCTACTAATATCGTTAACATCGCAATGATTTTACAAAAACACCTTATTGAGGCACTATGATCGATCATCATATTCGTGATCGGTCAAATTATATATTTATTTATTTATTTCCAAAATTTCATTTTCTTACACAACACCTTTCCACATAATGATCGATTATACATTTATTCGATCGATCAATATTTTATGATCGATCATATACTACATTGATCGATCATCCATTACGTTGAATATGACTCGTAAATTTTTCTACTTTTATTGTAAATATATAATTTTGTACTTATCCCATTAATTTTTTGTATTTCTTACTGATGTCGTAAATATACCATTAACCTTGTACTTAGTTCCACCGACTTTGTAAGAATAACCATTATCTTTGTTATTAGATCCATTATTGTTGTAAATATTGCAAGTAATATTATAAATATTCCATAAACTTTATAACTCACTCATTGATATGGTACATCCTTCATCTATCATTATTGTACAGTATAAATGGCAACAGGTCATTCCAGTTGCCTTGTTTTTCCTTTACACGTGTCCATTTCTGCATCATTTTGTAGAATTTTTTTCAATTTTAACCGTCAAATTTTTTATACATACCGAAAATGCCCTTAGATGTACTGTAGCCATGTCCGTTAGTGTAACAACGGACATAAATCCCCCATCCAAAGCCTCTCCACAAGAGAAGAATGGTTTCCCATCCCGTGCCCACAGACAGGAGAAAAGTGTGTGATGGTTCATGCACTTTTTGAAAGCATATCATCAAGATTCAACAAAGCATTATGGACACCCGTCAACTCTTCCTCCAAGGTTATGATTGACTTGCTGTTTTCAGAATATATATATATGCCATGATTTTTTGCTTAGTTCAGACTCTGACAGAATCTCAGTGCCTTCTCCCAAGTAGATTCACTGTAGATCCACTGAACGAAGATCTTACAAGCTTTCATTTTTTTTTTTATGAAAGAAGATGGATTTTTCTGACACGGAAAGGAACTGAGGGGTAAGACTGCCAAAAACTGGATGTTAAGCTTAGATTTTGTGTTATTGATCTTGGAAATAATAAAACATTGAATACTTTAAATGGGTCATACTCTCATTAGTAGAAAATAGGAAATATGGTATCGAGAAACAATTAATTTTGCGGTATTATAGTTTGAACAATGATATAACAATGAAATTACAGTAGAGGTATGGAACCGAAACTGTTGGGATATTAAGAAGTGAGCCACCATTATTGTACTGCAGAAGGCATTGGCTTGTCAGAGGCAGAGACGGCTACAACACTGCCATAAAATCCAGGATCCATGTGGGAGAGGATCAAAAGATTGTGTTGCGTCGTTAACTATGCCTTATTAATTTTGAGGGGTGTATGAATTTTTCAAGTGAAAGCAGAGATGTTGAATCCAACTGGTTTGGACTTTGGTTCGCTCTAAGTTCGGATAAAATTTTTCAGATTATTTAGTATTCAAATCTGAGTATATTGCTCGGATAAATACTATACTTACCATTAGGTATAAAAAATCAAGAGTAAACTGCACATATAGTCTTCAAACTATGATTATGTCAATTAAATTCCTAATTTTTTTTTTGTGTCAATTAAATTTCTAAGTAGGTTAATTAAATCCTTTTATCTACCTCCGGTAGAATATCACTCATGTGACTATGACACAAAAATATAAAAATCTCAATTAACACAAAAAAAATAAAAATTTAGGGAGTTAATTGACACAAGGGTTATAGTTTAAGAATTTATTTACCAAAATATAACACTTCTACCACACTGTTAAACTATTTACCAATCTACTACAATTTTTAAAAATGGAATCAATAATTCCACTTTAAAAAACTGCCATAAATCAATAAATAAGTTTAAAAGTGCGGTATATTGAAATTTTTGTTTTAAAAGTGCATTATTTGGGTAATAACTTCCATAATTTGAGAGCTACATGTGTATAGTTTACTTCTACTATTTGTGTCACGTTAGTAGCACACTTTGCCACTTTCCGTTAAAAAATCTAACATATGCAGACATAAGAGCTTAATTAGCACAATTAGAGAGTTGAATGACTTAATTGCCATAAAAAAAAGTTAAAGGACTTAATTAACATAAAGGTCATAATTTGAGGGATATATGTGTAGTTTACTTAAAAATTTAACTCTTCAAATTTCAAGTGTTACTGAGCATGTATTGTTAGGATATACGAGCTTGATTGAATTGAGTTAAACTACAACATACGAATTGAAAATAAAGTGCTTGAACATGTATCTACGTTTGCAAGTATTCAAAATTTACTCTCGCAAGGATTTGTGAGATGTGTCCAAAGTGGCTTTCTCAACGAATAATTAATAATAATACCACAAGTAGGAAGATAAAAATTCAAGATACGAAAATAAAGTACAAAGATGTATATCCACATACCAAAAAAAATTGGATATACATCCTAGGTCCTCCACCGAAAGGCACATCGGGAAACTTGCCTACAGGGCTTCCGGTGGTGCGTAAGCATTTAGGAAAGAGCTGATCATCTTCATCAGCTGTAGCAGCTGCTCCATCGGGGCCAATTTCGTCGAAAACGACACAACAATTTGTTATTACAGCAACAGACTGGAATCCAAAGCACCATTCTGCACTGCAAGAGATCATTTCAATACCTCCAGAGGTACATTTAAGAAGTTTAATCACTATTTTTTTTTTATCTTTGAAGGCTTAACATGTGATTTTCTGCTATGAAATTGCAAAAGATTTAACACCTTCAGATTGGTAGGACACACATTATTTCTCCATTACTCTTAACAAATTTTTCTTGGTTTTTTTTGGTGGATTTTAGATTCAGAATCGTCGAATGTGGGGGTTTGTCAAAAAATTCATTTCCAGAGGAAAATAAAGAGAAATGAAGATAAGAGAACATTCATAGAATCATACCTCAAAATCAATAAAATATAATACTCAAGCAAAAATCTATACCTGTCTTGTCCCATGCTCGCTTGAAAATAAATCTATAATTGCATAGATTACTGCTTTATGAGCCTCCCAAATTTCAATAGGCTGACCTTTCCTCCATCGTTTAAAGATACTACACTCAATAGGCAACATTATGCATCGAGTCATAGCACAAAAATTTAAGAAATAAAATACTGTAGCCAAGTAATAGGCAACAGAGTAATTAAAGTAAGTTGGTCTTTCCTATTACAACAACTCTTACACAAAAACACATATACACAACAATATTACACAAAAACATGCAAACTAGTACATTAAAACATAAACAAACATACCAATACACTAAAATATACATTGTTAAACACACTAATACACCAACAAACATGCACACTAACACACCAAAAGCACGCACACAAACAAATACATGGATGCACACACCATCACTAAAACCAACACACACTAATACACTAAAAACATACCGACACCAACATACCAAAACGCACAATCACACTATTACACAACACACACACCATCATCACGCACGCCCACTAATCCACCATCCAAAATATACACACACTAATACACCAAAAAATACAAACATTAATACAATTAAACACACATTCACAAAAATGTATATATTCTATCACATGTAGTGTTAACACAAGCTAATCCGTCACAAACACGGACACTAATATACAATAATACACGTTATTACATGAACACAAATGCGCACACACACACACACACTAATACATTAAAAAACACATATACCCCAGCTAATTAGTATATACATTCATATACACAGTGTTAATACACACTAGTATACCAAAAAAAACACATATAGAAACAAAACACACTAATATAGAAACAAAAACTAACAGATACACACTAATATATCAAAAAGAAACACCCCCAAACATACGTTCTGTTCACACACACTAATACACCAAAGAAACATACCCATACACTAATACACCATAGAAATACAAACATACTTATGTTTTGCCCAATGGTGCCAAGGCTTTGTTTTTTTTTTTTTTGGGGGGGGGGGGAGGGGGACAAGGCTAGCCAAACCATTGGTGCCCCTCAACTATCACCACCCCCTATATATGCTTTATGGAGGTTTTCCAAAGCGACTTTGAATGGACATTTTTTGAACCGATGAAACAAAACAACGAGAGTCTGGGGCATAACGCCTGGACTTTTGTTGAACACCTTAGGTACATCGCCTTGCTTTGAATTCATGGGGTGTCATGGTGCAAGATGCCGCCACTAACACACGTCAATTTTTGTGCCCCAGTCAATTGGAGTCTAAAAACTAGTGTCTTTTTTTATAACTAGTAAATTTAAAAATCATCTAGAATATGATAATTAAATCAAATTTTTTACTACCAGTGAAAATTTTCAAAAAACCACCACAATTATTAATAAAAACACATTATTAATATTTAAAAATGGAAACTAGAACATCTACTCAAAGATATTCAAAAGAAATAGTCAAGCAAACATGCAACAAGCTTACCAGTGTGCTCTTCAAAAGTGTGTGTAGAGTTGTGTCACTTGAACCTGGATTACCATAAACAAAAACTATCATAGTTCATTCGTATCTAAAGCAACATGGTTTAAGACCATCAAGTTAAACCAATGTTACCTGGGTATGAGTATATAGTACGACACTTTTTTAGGTACACGGTACGATGGAGGTAGGTTTAGCTCGTATGGTATTTTGGGTCGCAATTCATTTTGGACCTCTTATATAGATCGTTTTCACTACTATATAACATTATATATTACAGAACGTTCAAAAACACTAAGTTAGTTACCATTTATCTTGATTTTTTATTATCTAAAACAATATATAATTATAAATCTATATACATGTAATCAATTAATATATATTTTATATTTGTACTATATGTTCTAAAGATAATTGATTTAGAGTTAGTAATATAATTTGGGGTCGTCCATTATGGTGATATGGATCACAAACCCACCTTGTTTCGGACTAATGTACCCCGATCATGCGTCGTTAAGGGTTTAGTAAATTGTGATAACCATGGTTTAAACATCAGTACCTTTATAGGTCAATAATTGCAAGAAATCTTAAGCAAAGGATGTAGATCGAGGATGATAATTAAGAACTTCACGAGAAGAAAAAAAAAACGCTAACAAAATCAATACTATACAATACCTAAAAAAATCTACACCTTCCACAAGCAACCACTTGGATTGCTATTTTATGAGCCTCCCAAATTTCAATACAAAAAATAGACGGAGAAAAACTTACACAAACATACCTCAAATCAAGCAAAATAATGTTCACTTACAAAAGTTTGCCTGAAAGTAACTTCGTAGCTGGTAGATTACTGCCTTATAAACCTCCCAAAGTTCTACATGTTGGTCTCTCATCCATCGTTTTAATATACTACAATCAATAGAAAATATCTAACCTCGTAACACAACAGTTAAATGACATGAAAATTTTACAGAACAAAAAATTATAAGGAAGTAATTGGTAACAGAGGAGTCATATACTATAGATGATGACCTACTAGTTATAGGAAAAGCCAAACCATATTTCTATCAAACCCATCCCCCACACATAGACAAACAAACAATTAATAAGAAAAAATATAAATCATAATCATTTTAAATATAAACTATCATATGCACTAAAATATATGCTAAAGAAATGGTCACGTAGACACAAAAAAAAACAAACTTGTATGCCCTACAAAGGTATGCACACATGTTCTCCCTTTCCAAAACTCTAAAGTTGTCATAAGAACTTGAATTACGATTGACAACAATACACATCAGTTATTCCTATCCAAAGCATATTTTGATAACTGTTAAAAATCTTAAGCAAAGGATATAAGTTGATTGTTGACATCATAAGAAAGATACTTAAGAACTTCAAGGTTCAAGACAAAAAATAAAAGGAAAAAGCTAACACAATCATAACCTTAAATCAAACAAAATAATGTTCACTTGTAAAAAACTCGCCTAAAAGTAACTTAATCACTACATAGATTGCTGCCTTGTAAGCCTGTCAAAGTTCAACAAGTTGGTGTCTACTCCACTGTCTAAATGTACTACATGAAAATTTGAAGGAACAAAAACTGTAAGGAACTAATTGGCAACAAAAGGTCACATACCTCCCCCTTCCCCACAAACAATTATTAAGGAAAAATATAACTCGCAAGTTTTTAAAAAAAAAAAATCATACGCAATAAAATATATGTAAAGGAAATAGTCACGTAGACAAACAAGAAAACAAACCTGTATGCCCTATGAAGGTATGCACACATATCCCCCTTTACCAAAGCTCTAAAATTGTCACTGTAACTTACATTATCATTTGACAACAATCAAGATTAATCATTTATATCTAAAGTATAGTTTGATAACTTTAAGAAATCTTAAGCAAAGTACTTAAGTTGATCGTTGAGAGATCATAGGGAAGATACTTAATTAGTTTAAGTTTCAAGACAAAAAAGAGAAGTACAAAAAAAATTTACAGAATCATACCTCAAATCAAACAAAATAACGATCACCAGTAAAAAGCTCGCCTAAGATTAATTTCATAATTGTTTAGATTGCTGCCTTATAAGCCTCTCCCAAAGTTCAACAAGTTAGCCTCTACTCTATTGTCTAAATGTATTGTAATCAATAGGGAATATCTAAAATCGTTACACAATAGTTCAATGGCATGAAAATTTTAAGAAACAAAAAAATTCTAAAAAAAGAATTGATAACATAGGAGTCATATACCTTAAATGATGACCAATAGACCATTTATAGGAAAGACCAAACCATATTTCTATCGCCCTCCACAAACAACTACTAAGGAAAAATATAAATCATAACATTTTAAATGGTAACTATCGTATGTAGTAAAATATATACAAAAGAAAGTCACGTAGACATGTAAGAAAACGAACTTGTATGCCCTACGAATGTATGCACACGTCCACCCTTTCAGAAGCTCAAAAGTTGAGTTACTAGAACTTACATTATCATTAACAACAATCCACATCAGTCATTCATATCCAAAGTATAGTTTGATAACTGTAAGCAATCTTAAGCAAAGTACTAAAGTTGATTGTTGAGAGATTATTGGGAAGATACTTAAAAATTTCACGGTTCAAGACAAACAAGAGAGAAAAAGTTGAGGAAAAAACTTGTACAATCATACCTCAAATCAAGTAAAATAATTTTCAGTTACAAAAAGCTCGTCTGAAGGTAACCTTGTAAGCCTCCCAAAGTTAGACATGTTGGTCTCTCCTCCGCTGTCTTAATGTACTGTAATCAATAGAGAATAACTAACTTTGTGACACAATAGTTAAATGAACAAAAAATTGTAAGGAAGTAATTGGCAACTGAGGAATCATACATCTTAAATGATGAACTACTAGTTATAGGAATGGTCAAACCATATTTCTATCAACCCCCTCCCCCTCACACACAAACAAACAATTACTAAGGCAAAATATAAATCAAAATTATTTAAAGAAAAACGATCATATGCACTAAAATATATGCTAAAAAAATGGTAACATAAAAATAAAAGAAAACAAACCTGTATGTCTTACGAAGGTATGCACACATATTCTCCCTTTCCAAAACCCTAAAGTTGTGTCATTAGAATTTGCATTATGATTGACAACAATTCATATTAGTCATTCCTATTCAAAGCATAA